AGAAATATGTTACAAGCCCCCAAATATTAATACTGATTGGGAAAAGCAACTGCTATCTAAAATGATTAAGGCTGCTCAAAATGGGTGATTTGTTAATCATGGACGATTTTAATTATCCAGACATTGATTGGGACAGAGAGACTATTAGTACAGTCAAGGGAAGCAGGTTTTTGAACCTGATAAATTATAATTTCATGTCTACATTAGTAGAAGTGCCTACTAGAAAAGAGTCTTGCAAAACGGTGATTAGATGGGCTAAACGTTAAAATGAAAAGCTCATAGCCAAAGAGAGCAAGGCCAACCATAAAAAGTTGTTTTAAGCATGTTAATGCCAAAAAGGTTAAGAGTAAAAGTGTTGGGTCATCGGAAAGTGAGATGGGTGAGTTAATTAATAAGGATCATGGCAAGGCAGAAATTCTAAATAATTACATAGGGAAGAAGAATACATGGCTGTAGATTTGCAAATCCCTGTTACAAAAGCCTAACAGCAAACAGGTGATTGGTTACACAGGATAAAGTGCTTCAGAAAGTAAACAAAGTTAATGTAAACAAAGTCCCATATGAAATTCACCCATGTGTGCTTAGGGAACTTAGTATAGAAATATCCATACTTAATTACATAATTTTTCAGGATTCTTTTCTTTCAGGAATTGTACCAGAGGATCGGAAACCAGCCTCGATTAGCAGGAATCAACATGGTTTTATGAAATACAGGTCATGCCAAACTAATTTTATTGTGTTCTATATAGAAGTTAGTAGAAATATAGATCAAAGTGCTCCAGTAGATGTGAACACAATTTTTTGTCTAAACTAACTTTTGTTAGTAGCCTGTTTACATACATATCAATTATATCCTTGAATATTGTCATAACTTCAGCTGCAGGATCTAGTGGGAGCAGCGCAGCCGCCGGAGGTATGACAATATTCAACAATATAATTGATATTTATGTAAACCGGTTGTTGATCCATCAACCTGTTACATCTTTTGTTGCTTTATTATACATTAGTATTTGTAAGCAAAATAAACCTAAAGAAAACATAAGTCTGATGCGTACCCATTTCAGAAAGTATGGAAAACATAGGACCAATACTGGACTTACCTTCGGCCTGCTGTGTCACCCCCTCCTGTGGGTAACACTCGATCCTTCCTATTTCTGCATCCCCTTCTTCGCCACACCAAATCCAGCTTACATTCTTGTTTCCTTGTACAGTGCTGCAGAATATGTTTGCTCTATTTAAATAATTGTAATCAACAGTTGAGCTAATTTACAAGTTTTAAATCAAAATAACCAAGTTGAGAAAATAACTCTGTTTCTGTTATAGATTTTTTTTTCCAACATATAAATTTTATTTTACATTTTTAATTTGGATATTTGATGTTATTTTACCACTGTACCCAAAATATATCCTTAGTAATTGTTTATTTTTATTTTTATGAGTTTTTTTTTTTTTTACCGAAACAGTTGGCAAATATACATTCCGTGCAGATCTCTTCCACTCAAGATAACACAGATATAGCTCCGCTGTGAGAGATGGAATATTAATTAACTTTTTTTGCTAGCTATCCTTGTGATACATGCAGATTAGAACAATGTTAGTGTGGAAGTTCAAAAAGAAGCATTTTGTCTTTCCTGCAGGGGGGGTTTGTCATTTCTAATTGATTACCAAGTTCACATCTTCCAAAAACAAATCTGTTCTTTTTTTCTGTTTCCTGGGGGATTAAATCCTGTGATTTTGAGAAGACTCAATAAAACCTGGTCTTTTTATCATCCTGTAGATCTCTATAGCTGCAGCCACTGTAGCTATGAGCGATATTTCTAGATCAGTCCTTTGATATTAAGGTTTTCTTCAATGAGACCTGATTTTACCAGTCCTTTTCAGTAACGGAGAGGGAAGGAGAGTTCCTTCTCTTCCTTATATAGATTCTCACACAATGGCTGTTAGTAATTCCTATTTTTCACGTCCTGATCACTGTACTTAAAAATAATAATCGCAACAATTCAAACCATCCTATAGTAAATTAATTATTCCCTAGATCTGACAGTTTGGCAGTGTGGAGGTGTTTTAGCAGGCATCATAATATTTAAACCATTAGTGAGATTTACTAATTTTAAAAAGGCACTAATTATTTTCAGACATCAATCAGAATCTGTCATTTGTGGCATAGTAGTCAGTCTCCCATTGTATATGAAAGATAATATTTCTTTGAATTTTCTGATTATGCTATGTTCCCAACACACCCAACCAAAAAAACAAAATTTAACTAGAGCTTGTTTTTCATTTAGATTTCATAGTAAGCTAGTAAGCACGTTTAAAATACACAAGGTATATGCGGTTTATAATTGCTGCTTAGAGAATAACCCTTATACATTCTGCATATTACTGTAAAGAAACTGATTCCCAAACCCGGCATAATATTCACGCTATTGACTTCCATATAAAACTGTTTTATTTTGGCTGTCTTGAGCACGTCATTAAGAATGCCCCAGTTGCTGACTTCATGTCCATTGATACACAGCCTGCTTTATAAAGGGATGTAATAATTTGCAGTTAGGTAGATTGAGTGGCTCTGTCAAACCTTCCCCTAGTCTGCTTTCTTTAACCCCTTAAGGACAAATGACATGTGTGACATGTCATGATTCCCTTTTATTCCAGAAGTTTGATCCTTAAGGGGTTAAACATTCCCTGAAGACATTCTTGTTCAAGGAAGCCTACCACCCAACTAACACATTCCACTTAAACAAAAAGGCCCTCATCTAACTCTGCATTAATATCATTCTCAACTTTATAGTCCCTCCTATACATCTAGATTGTAAATTCCACAGGAATAGGGCCTTTAACTCGTTTGCCAAATTTTGTATTTCCTCTCAGTTATATTGTACTGTGTCTTTTTACTTGTACTAATTGAACTCTAGTACAGCACTGAGGATTGTGTTGGCACTTTATGAATAAAGTATTATTATAATTATATTAATTTCACGCTTCATTTTGATAAGCAAAGACATGTTAATGTGATGTTAGCAAAACAATGTAGGAAGAGACGTAAAAGTGTAGAAAAAAAATGTATTCGGTAATTTACAAATAAAATTGGCAGAATGAGAGAAAACTGAATGGAGAAGGAGTAAAATATTTTTAAGACGTGAGAGTGGTTTAAAAAGATGTGGAGATTTTGGGAAGGTTATGCTCCGTATTCCTTTTGATTCGATATTATCTTAATGTGTTTGGGGAATGCCCTTATTGAAACTAAATACATTAATTTCACTTACTTGAGTTGCTGTGGAGTAAACATGCAAGCATGCAAAGGTTTACTTTATTTTGTGTCGATCCACAAATGTATGTTCATTGCATGTTATATCAAAAACAATGTTGAAGGAAAAGAAAAAAATACAAACGCAAGAAATACAAATGTACCTAACCAACAGAGTGGTAGGAATATACACGAGTACTTAACTTGGTATGAGATGAATGCAGCTTCCCAAGAGGTTACCCCCAAATGAACCTCAAATGCAGATATGTAAATGGACAAAATAGGGATACAGCTGAATGGCTAAAAAATATAAGAATACATAGTACATAGTGAAGTACCGTCACAATAATAAAATATAAACTTCAATGATTGCACTCACAAAATAGTGATGGATAATGCGCCTTTAAGCCCTCAAGGGCTGCAGTGGTATTCACCCTCCACGAATAGGTTGCTCTGTCTTCAAAGAAGTGGGAGTATGCCAGTGAAGTATAAAAAAATTTTTTTATTATTATTAAAAGGCACTAATAAGCCTATATCAAAAAATCAATAGTTAAAAGTATACAAATAATACTGCATCTTAGCCTACAACACCTGGTATTCCCAGGCGGTCTCCCATCCAAGTACTAACCAGGCCCGACCCTGCTTAGCTTCCGAGATCAGACGAGATCAGGTGTGTTCAGGGTGGTATGGCCGTAGGCTAGCCTACAACACCAGGATTCCCAGGAAGCACTGAGGATTGTGTTGGCACTTTATGAATAAAGTATTATTATAATTATATTAATTTCACGCTTCATTTTGATAAGCAAAGACATGTTAATGTGATGTTAGCAAAACAATGTAGGAAGAGACGTAAAAGTGTAGAAAAAAAATGTATTCGGTAATTTACAAATAAAATTGGCAGAATGAGAGAAAACTGAATGGAGAAGGAGTAAAATATTTTTAAGACGTGAGAGTGGTTTAAAAAGATGTGGAGATTTTGGGAAGGTTATGCTCCGTATTCCTTTTGATTCGATATTATCTTAATGTGTTTGGGGAATGCCCTTATTGAAACTAAATACATTAATTTCACTTACTTGAGTTGCTGTAGAGTAAACATGCAAGCATGCAAAGGTTTACTTTATTTTGTGTCGATCCACAAATGTATGTTCATTGCATGTTATATCAAAAACAATGTTTATTTTTATCTTATTTAGCAAAAATGTTATAATTTTTTTTTTTTTAAATAATTGTATGTCCACTAAAAGATCGGCACCCTGGTTGACAGCACAAAAAGACAAATCCCTTAGCCACTGTTTCAATGTCAGTACTATGTGTGTCTGTTCCTAATGTGTTAACCAATAGGGACACTGTCTGCCTTCTAGAAATGTCTCCCTTGTGTCAGCTCTGTGTGTGCCTGATGTGTTCCATAAACACCAGCACTGTGTGCTTTGTGGAAATGTTTCCCAAAGACCCACCACCCTGTGTGGGTCTGTTGAAGCATGCTGCCATACTAACCAAGTTTCTACTCACTGTTTAATCATTGTCTCGTTTCCTGTATGCTCAATTATTCTTTTTTATGAAATTGGATTTTTCTAGGCTGTCAATTGTAATCATTTATTTTTATAGCATAATTTATTGTATCAGAGCATGAATGTTGTAACTCATTAACCTAAGCAATTCTCTGCATATTAAGTAATATATCATTATATTTGTTAACGTTCTCAGTGCCGGGGGTGTGCCATTCACATTTCTATGCAATGTGCTGGTGATATCTCAGCAATCAAAGGGTTAAAGGGACACTAGAGGCACCAGACAAGACTTTGTGTTTTAGCTGACAGTAAGTGTATGAGTTATCATTGACCTTGACCTACCAACAGCACAGCACTCCTAAAAACACAGAGAAAATGATGAAAATCATACTTTTATCAGGATTCCATGATAACCTCTCTAAAACTGAACTCCTTGTCTTTCCTCCTCCTAATACCGATCCTCCTCTCTCGCTCTCCCTTCAAGTCAGTGATATCCACATAAGTCCATCCCTGTCTTGGCGTCATACTTGACTCTGGTCTCACCTTTGAGTCTCACATCCAGTTTGTTGCCAAGTCCTGTAGGTTCCAACTCAAAAACATAGCCCGCATTCGCCCCTTTCTTACGCAAGATGCTACCAAGGAGCTTGTCCATGCTCTAGTAATTTCCCGCATGGATTACTGTAACCCTCTCCTGATTGGTCTCCCCAAAAGCCGTATTGCCCCGCTACAGTCTGTAATGAATGCTGCAGCTAGACTGATTTTCCTCTCTAGTCGGTCCTCTCACACCTCACCCCTCTGCCAGTCCTTACATTGGCTCCCTGTATGCTATAGGAGTCAATTCAAAGTGCTAACCCATACATTTAAAGCACTGAACAATTCTAGCCCCACTTATATCTCTTCACTAATCCATAGATATGCCCCTCCTCGTACCCTCCGCTCTGCCCGTGACCACCTCCTGACCGCTGCTCGCACCCGTACGGCCAACTCGCGCTTGCAGGACCTCTCGCGGGTGGCTCCTCTCCTATGGAATAGCTTGCCTACTGCCATCAGACTCTCCCCTAGTCTTCAATCATTTAAGAAGGGCCTTAAAACCCATCTCTTCAGGAAAGCTTATGGCCTCCCAGAGTAATCTCTACCTTACATACCTTTCTCCTGCTTTCTCCTGTGGGACAGTGCTTTGCTCTCTCCTCCAGCTCTGCTTCACTCCTACTTGATATTTCCTGTCCTAATGTTTCTAATACCCCACCTCCTATAGTCTGTAAGCTCGTTTGAGCAGAGTCCTGTTCAACCTATTGTTCCTGTAAGTTTTCTTGTAATAGTCCTATTTATTGTTACATCCCCCCCTATCAAAATATTGTAAAGCGCTACGTAATCTGTTGGTGCTATATAAATGGCAATAATAATAATATAAGAGAACACCTTACTAAATGTCCAAAATGATGATCATGTAAGAAACTGGATCTTCCTCATCTGACTGTCTCTGTCTGCCTTGTCGATCCTCTGATTTCACAGAACGATTTTTCTTACAGACTGTTGGCTTTGGCAGTGTTTAACCTGCCTAATTATTTTCATGGTATATTTATTAATGGTAATGTGATTATTGTTTCTCTGTAATTTTCATATGTGTATATATCATGCCTCAGTGCTGAATAAAATATTTAATTACTGAGAAAAAATTTAGTTGTGGGGGTTTTGCGTATAGACAGAAAAGAGTCTTGGCAGACACATTTGTATCTCAGCAGGGTGTAACACAGTTCTGGGGCAAATGACAGAGTAAATGATGCTGTGTTGATTTGATTTAAAGGAACACTATATTATTAGGAATACAAACATGTATTCCAAAGAATATAGTTCCTGTGTGACTGTTTAGTTGATTGGCCACCCTTAGATTGCAATGAAAAGGTGAGTTTACCTATCTTTTCTGCTGTGCCACACCGGCCTCGCCATTGCTGTCCCCTCCTACATGGCTGGGATCATCAATCTTGATAATCTTATTCAATCCAATGCTGTCCCATAGGAAAGAATTGGGAAGCTGTTGTGCATGCGCAGCAAAACCCTGCACTGCACCAATCAGCATCTCCTCAGAGATTAACTGAAACAACGCATCTCTATGGGGAAGTTCAATGTCTCCATTCAGAATGTAGTTGTTGCACACTGTGCAGCACTTAAAGAAATACTTTAGTGCTAGAATACAAATCTTAAGTTCTAGCATTATACTTCCCTCTGACCTGCCCCCATTGTTGGCAGGAAAGAGGTTGTGGTGTGAATAGGATTGTTTCAGGTGGATAATAAAATCAACTTTATTTTTGTGAGTATGTGTTTAACCCCTTTAACTCACCACTTGTTTATACCCAATTGCCACAGTAAGTATTCATACCCCGCAATCATGTGTACATAATTTGCAAATTAAATTTGTTCGATGCAAAAAATTTAATTTGCAAATTATGCCTTTAATAAACCCTGAAAGTCACAGCTCAGCAGCACTAAAAGCCAACAAGCTGTGACCTTTACATAACTGAACACAGAGTAACTCTCTCGGTGTTAAGGTCAGTCCTCTAGCAGTCCAAGCAGCAGAAACACTGGAGGGGGTTGGGGGAACGGGAATGTGGCCAGCAGCTCATTCTCCCCTGTCTGTGCTGCATTTACACAGAGAAAAGTGAGCATGAAATATGACGGCACAACCTCGCTATGCTGTGTGAGACACAGCAGGGGCAAAGCTGCTGGCAGATCCAAGAGAGATAGCCAGTATCGCACTGAGCAAATGGAGGGTGGCTGAAGGGGAGAACTGAGGGAGGAAAGCATCGCACCTCACCTACAAATAAAACAAGCAGCAATGTGTAAAGAAGCTGCACAGGAAAATATAACCTACCCACATTAAATCTGCTCCATCAAACTCACACACACTCTCATGCTGTCACATCACCCTCCTCCATCACACACATTAATTCACCCTGTGACATCACACCTCCCTAACACAAACTCTTTCATCCTATCACATTACCCCACCCCTTTTTTATATTTTAATATTTTTCAAAAGTCATTTAAAAGTTTATCCAAAAATTTAAATCAATGTGTAAAATCAGCTTGTGAATCTGTATTGCTCAAGTCAGGGGCCTAGAAATCCTCTCAATGCTTAAGTAATAGCCCTGTCTGGTTCTGAGAACCATTTGAATCTGAAAAGACTGTGTGACCGACCTGATGCCCAGATACCCATAGTCTGAGCCAAAACTTAACATCAAAAACAGACACCTCAGTAGTAGAGCTTTAATAACATGACAACACACAACACCAAAAAAACACATATATCAACATAACTATAGCACATTTCACTTAAACCATAAGCTACCAGAGATGGTTCTTATATGAAATATAGGACAGACAGGACCCCCGTCTTCTGTCGTATCTTCAGAGTTTTTTGCCTGGCAGGAATCCTACTAGGATAACCAGCCTGCAGGAAGTGCACACTGAGAGCAGCAAATAGCTTGCTGTCAGACCGGATAGGATACAGAAGATCATCTACGCACAGGGAAAGCATTGAATTGGCTAAAATCGGCAAGGAGGCCAGATGGGTGTGGAACCAAAAGCCATTTTCAGCACCTCCTCATAGAGATGCATTAAATCAATGCATCTCCAAGAGGAAAATGTAGCGTCTCCATGCTGAGCGTGCAGACGCTGAGCGGCAGTGCTGCCTACTGTGCAGCACTAAGCCAGGAAGCAACTCCAGTGGCCATCTGAGGAGTGGCCACTTGGAGGTGTCACTAGGGGGCAATGTAAACACTGCCTTTTCTCTACAAATGCAGTGTTTGCATGAAAATGCCTGCAGGTAATGATTATACTCACCAGAACAACTACATTAAGCTGTAGTTGTTCTGGTGACTTTAGTGTCCCTTTAAACATCACAGTTTCTTAAAAAAAAAAAAAAGAAAGGCATTTCTAAAAACATGGTATTTTACAGTTAAACAGATAGGGAATCTGCACCTAGACCACTTAACTAAGACAAAGTGGTCTGAGTGACCAACTATAGTCTTCCTTTATAGTGCACATAAAGGGGTCTGTTTCCTAAACTCTGAATGACAAGCCAGCTAGTAGTCAATTTGAAGTATTTTTCACATCAGCTATTTTAGCCTAATTTTGAAATTCCGGTTATATTTCACTTTTAGAATGCAGTGTTTATTGAATAACCCCTAATCTGTTATTACACATTATTAAAGTGAATTCAAGCTGAATTTCTAAGTCTAAGTTAGAATAGCAAGAATTTGGCAATTTTTGCCTAAAATGTTAAATTTAATTTAAATTCACTATGAATTTCCAGCAATACACACTTTGGTGTATAATTCTGAAGGTAACGAAGTTAGGATTTTTATTGCATAGAGTAAAACAGAATTCTGATATCAGACCATCTACAGTTCTATCAATAATAATCTAACTCATTACATGCTTGTATAAAGAAGCAATTCTATAAGGGTTATTTATTAAATTGAAATTTCAAAGTGAATTTAAATTTAAGACTAGCCAAACTGAAAGCATAGCTGACAGAGATTTTTTCCATCTTGGCTACTTTAACGTGAAATATAAAATTTGCTTTGAGTTCACCTTGAATTCTACTTTAAAAGGACACTCTAGGCTTTAAAACGACATTAGCTTAATGAAGCAGATTAAGTGTTTAGATCATACTCCTGCAGCTTCACTGCTCAATTCTTTGCCATTTAGGAGTTAAACCACTTTTGTTTCTGTTTATGCAGCCCTAGCCACACCTCCCTTGACTCACACAGGCTGCATGAACATAAAAAATGGTTTCATTTTCAATCAAATGTTAACTCATTTTAGAAGTTTTTATCTTTGTAAATTGAACATTAATCCCACACAGGAAGCTCCAGTAGGGTCTAGAAGGCTATTAAAGGAACAGGAGATGGGAAATTCTAAATTAAACAGAATGTGCAGAAAAGGAAGTTTAAACATCAGAACTCTCTTAACAGGGAATGTTTAGGAAGGCTGTGTAAGTCACATGCAGGGAGATGTGCCTAGGGCTGTATAATCAAAATTATTTAACTCCTAAATGGCAGAGAATTGAGCAGTGAGACCAGGTATTTTACTGGGATTTGCTGGGAATCGTATTTACTGGAAGCCAGTCAAACTCACTAAAAAATTGACAATCAAAAAAATCATCCCATTGAAGGAACAGTCTGATAAAAATAAAATAAAAAAAACTATATCATTATTTCATCGTATTCCATTATCCATCTAGATTTATGGCCCTCCTTAAAAATAAATCATTTTAAATCACAATTAACATTACCTGCATTCTAGTTCCTACAAACTCCTCACTGCACTCCCTCCTCTGTCCAATCAGTTGTTTCTCATAGTGGAACATTGCGGACATGTGGCATATGTGTGGCTTTCGCCACGATCCAAGAATCCACTAGTTCTATATGAGAAGTACTGGACACGCATACATTGCATTCTGATTCCTGATAGATTCAAATATATGTAATCATTGTATCTATTGTA